AATGAAAAATGGAAAAATTTTAAAATTGTAAAATTGAAAAGTGAAATATTTAAAAAAATATCATTATTACATATATATTTAAAATGAAAACTAAAAAAATTCCAAATCATAAATTGAAAATGTTCACATTTAAAAATGAAAAAATTAAAATCAATATATTGAAAACCGGAAAACTGAAAAAAAATGAAGAAAATAAAAAACTGAAACAAGAAATCGCAAATTGAAAAGTTGAGAAGTCGAAAATTGAAAATCGAAACGAAAAATTGGAAATCGAAAAATTGAAAAGTCGGATAAATGAAAAAGCTTTAAAATCAAGAAACTCAAAAATGGAAAATCGTAACTGAAAAAACAGATTTTAAAAATCATGATTAATTAAAATGAAAACTACAAAAATGCAAATCAAAAATTTAAGAAGGAAAAAATTTAAAAATCATGAAACTGAAAAATCTAAAATTGAAGAAATGAAAAATCCAAAAGTTATTACTACTCGAAAAACTCAAAAATACAAAAATTGGAAGGTTTCACATTGAAGGAAAAAAAAACGAAAAAGATGAAGCTGAAAAATCGAAAAATTGAAAAGTTGAATAAATGAAAAAGTTTTAAAATCCAATAATTGAAAAATGGAAATATTCTAAAATTGTAAAATTGAAAAGTGAAATATTCAAAAAAATATCATTATTACATGTTTAAAATGAAAACTAGAAAATTGCAAATCAAAAATTGAAAATTTTCACATTTAAAAATGAAAAAATTAAAATCAATAGATTGAAAACCGCAAAACTAAAAAAAAAATTAAGAAAATAAAAAACTAAAATAAGAAATCGCAAATGGAAAAGTTGAAAAGTCGAAAATTGAAAATCGAAACGAAAAATTGGAAATCGAAAAATTGAAAAGTCGGATAAATGAAAAAGCTTTAAAATCCAGAAACTCAAAAATGGAAAATCGTAACTGAAAAAAGAGATTTTAAAAATCATGATTATTTAAAATGAAAACTAGAAAAATGCAAATCAAAAATTTAAGAAGGAAAAAATTGAAAAATCATGAAACTGAAAAATCTAAAATTGAAGAAATGAAAAATCCAAAAGTTATTACAAATCGAAAAACTCAAAAATACGAAATTTGGAAGATTTCACATTGAAGGGAAAAAAACGAAAAAGATGAAGCTGAAAAATCGAAAAATTGAAAAGTTGAATAAATGAAAAAGTTTTAAAATCCAATAACTGAAAAATGGAAAAATTCTAAAATTGTAAAATTGAAAAGTGAAATATTTAAAAAAATATCATTATTACATGTTTAAAATGAAAACTAGAAAATTGCAAATCAAAAATTGAAAATTTTCACATTTAAAAAAGAAAAAATTACAATCAATACATTGAAAATCGGAAAACTGAAAAAATGAAGAAAATAAAAAACTGAAACAAGAAATTGCAAATAGAAAAGTTGAAAAGCCGAAAATTGAAAATCGAAACGAAAAATTGGAAATCGAAAAATTGAAAAGTCGGATAAATGAAAAAGCTTTACAACCCAAAAATTCAAAAGTCGTAAATCGCAAAACTGAAAAAAGATATTTTAAAAATCATGATTATTTAAATTGAAAAATCATGAAACTGAAAAATCTAAAATTGAAGAATTGAACAATCCAAAAGTTATTACAAATCGAAAAACTCAAAAATACGAAAATTGGAAGGTTTCACATTGAAGGAAAAAAAAACGAAAAAGATGAAGCTGAAAAATGGAAAAATTGAAAAGTTGAATAAATGAAAAAGTTTTATAATCCAATAAATGAAAAATGGAAAAATTCTAAAATTGTAAAATTGAAAAGTGAAATATTTAAAAAAATATCATTATTACATGTTTAAACTGAAAACTAGAAAAGTGCAAATCAAAAATTGAAAATTTTCACATTTAAAAATGAAAAAATTAAAATCAATACATTGAAAACCGGAAAACTGAAAAAAATGAAGAAAATAAAAAACTGAAACAAGAAATTGCAAATATAAAAGTTGAAAAGTCGAAAATTGAAAATCGAAACGAAAAATTGGAAATCGAAAAATTTGAAAAATCGGATAAATGAAAAAGCTTTAAAATCCAGAAACTCAAAAATGGAAAATCGTAACTGAATAAAGAGATTTTAAAAATCATGATTATTTAAAATGAAAACTAGAAAAATGCAAATCAAAAATTGAAGAAGCAAAAAATTGAAAAATCATGAAACTGAAAAATCTAAAATTGAAGAAATGAAAAATCCTAAAGTTATTACAAATCGAAAAACTCAAAAATACAAAACTTGGAAGGTTTCACATTGAAGAAAAGAAAACGAAAAAGACGAAGCTGAAAAATCGAAAAATTGAAAAGTTCAATAAATGAAAATGTTTTAAAATCCAATAATTGAAAAATGGAAAAATTCTAAAATTGTAAAATTGAAAAGTGAAATATTTAAAAAAATATCATTATTACATGTTTAAAATGAAAACTAGAAAATTGCAAATCAAAAATTGAAAATTTTCACATTTAAAAATGAAAAAATTAAAATCAATACATTGAAAACCGGACAACTGAAAAAAATGAAGAAAATAAAAAACTGAAACAAGAAATCGCAAATTGAAAAGTTGAAAAGTCGAAAATTGAAAATCGAAACGAAAAATTGAAAACCGAAAATTGAAAAGTCGGATAAATGAAAAAGCTTTAAAATCCAGAAACTCAAAAATGGAAAATCGTAACTGAAAAAGAGATTTTAAAAATCATGATTATTTAAAATGAAAACTAGAAAAATGCAAATCAAAAATTGAAGAAGCAAAAAATTGAAAAATAATGAAACTGAAAAATCTAAAATTGAAGATATGAAAAATCCAAAAGTTATTACAAATCGAAAAACTCAAGAATACGAAAATTGGAAGGTTTCACATTGAAGGAAAAAAAACGAAAAAGATGAAGCTGAAAAATCGAAAAATTGAAATGTTGAATAAATGAAAAAGTTTTAAAATCCAGTAACTGAAAAATGGAAGAATTGTAAAATTGAAAAGTGAAATATTTAAAAAAATATCTTTATTACATGTTTAAAATGAAAACTAGATAATTGCAAATCAAAAATTGAAAATTTTCACATTTAAAAATGAAAAAATTTAAATCAATACATTGAAAACCGCAAAACTGAAAAAAATGAAGAAAATAAAAAACTGAAAAAAGAAATTGCAAATTGAAAAGTTGAAAAGTCGAAAATTGAAAATCGAAACAAAAAATTGGAAATTGAAAAATTGAAAAGTCGGATAAATGAAAAATCTTTAAAACCCAAAAATTCAAAAGTGGAAAATCGCAAAACTGAAAAAAGATATTTTAAAAATCATGATTATTTAAATTGAAAAATCATGAAACTGGAAAATCTAAAATTGAAGAAATGAAAAATCCTAAAGTTATTACAAATCGAAAAACTCAAAAATACGAAATTTGGAAGGTTTCACATTGAAGGAAAAAAAAACGAAAAAGAAGAAGCTGAAAAATCGAAAAATTGAAAAGTTGAATAAATGAAAAAGTTTTAAAATCCAATAATTGAAAAATGGAAAAATTCTAAAATTGTAAAATTCAATAGTGAAATATTTAAAAAAATATCATTATTACATGTTTAAAATGAAAACTAGAAAATTGCAAATCAAAAATTGAAAATTTTCACATTTAAAAATGAAAAAATTAAAATCAATACATTGAAAACCGGAAGGTTTCACATTGAAGAAAAGAAAACGAAAAAGACGAAGCTGAAAAATCGAAAAAATATTACATATATATTTAAAATGAAAACTAAAAAAATTCCAAATCAAAAATTGAAAATTTTCACATTTAAAAATGAAAAAATTAAAATCAATACATTGAAAACCGGAAAACTGGAAAAAATGAAGAAAATAAAAAACTGAAACAAGAAATTGCAAATAGAAAAGTTGAAAAGTTGAAAATTGAAGATCGAAACGAAAAATTGGAAATCGAAAAATTGAAAAGTCGGATAAATGAAAAAGCTTTAAAATCCAGAAACTCAAAAATAGAAAATCGTAAAACTGAAAAAACAGATTTTAAAAATCATGACTATTAAAATGCAAATCAAAAATTGAGGAAGCAAAAAATTGAAAAATCATGTAATTGAAAAATCTAAAATTGAAGAAATGAAAAATCCAAAAGTTATTACAAATCGAAAAACTCAAAAATACGAAAATTGAAAGGTTTCACATTGAAGGAAAAAAAAACGGAAAAGTTGTAGTTGAAAAATCCAAAAATTGAAAAATTTCACATTTAAAAAAGCAAATTTAAAAATTAGGACCTTGAAAACCGGAAAATTGAAAAAAAAAAGAATCGAAATAAGTCTCTAGTCAAAAGATAGTCAAAAGAAAGGGTGGATAACCATAGAAATAGTATTAAATGGAAGTAACTTAAGAAATCATAAAATTACTCTTGATCAAGAACCATTAATTAACCACTTAATTCAGATTGTTTACAATACATTTAAAGAATATTTAACTTTTAGTTATTGTTTTAGTTAAAATTCGATTTCAGATTTGTAAATAAAATGCAGCAATGTGATAATCGTATATCTCAACATTATGGCAACAGCGCACTAACCATCCACGTTTATTTAAGTCATTTGGAATATTTGTATTCGTTTCGAAGTTTTCTTCTTTTGGAATCAGTGTTTATAATCGGAAATCGTGATATGTAATAAGCATTCACGTTCGGTAGAAGTAGCTGACAGAAACTTTTCTGTGGTTAAGTTGCAATCTTAAGATCACTAGAAACTAAAGATTGGCATCAACTGTCTAATTTTCTAATTCAAATGTCAAATCTGACTTGTGTGGAAAAAAACAAAGTTTTTCTAGTTTCAACACGCTTCGTTTCAAGAAAATCCTTAAATACAGCGTGGAAACAATTTCCACAAAAATAGTCACAAGAAAACCCATTTTAAAGAAAAAGAGACAAGAAATATTTCGGGGTTATCAAAAAATTACAGAGAAAAATGGACAACGTTTGGGTAAAACGGAAACAGTTAAACTGGTGGCAGAAATATTTTCCGTAAAGTTCTCTGGTGTTGACGAGTGCTTTTCGAATTTTAAAATAATACCGATACAATGGCGTCGGTGCCGTTAATATTATAATCAGAATCAGAAAGACGACTGCGCAGAAAACATTCGGCTTTGAGAATAATTGTACGTAATACACGCATAAATTTAGGTTTCCGAAGGCAAAGTTTTTCACATTTTAAACACGTTATAGCTACCACGCTACCAGAATCAAATTTCTAAGGCGGTATCTCCAATTGCGTGATGATGATGAAGATTTACTTTTCATTTCCTTCGATGAGACATGGATATATCAAAACGGATCTGTGGTAAAATCGGCCGTGGGTAAAATTGTGGATACATGATGATGACATCAAATCTTGTCCTCCTAAAAAAACTAGTGAAGGGAAAAGATTCACAATTTTACATGCGGGTTCCTCTTTGGGCTTTTAGAGGGATGTAATTTTCTCCTTGATTCAAAAATAGATTCAGCAGATTACCACAAAACCATCACATTTTCGATGTTTGACATTTACTTACTTACATGTCACATTTTTGATACCTACTTTCTGATACATTATACACTAGAACAATTATGTCCGCAGTTACACAGCTTAAAAAAAAAAGTTACCAAATCTAGTTACATCTACCGAACGTGAATTCCTTATAAACAATTTCAACTGAAAAGCTGCATTTTGGTAGTTATATTTTTTAATGTTGGTTGCATTTGTTCCTAATTCATTAAAAGCGTCGTTTAGAATTTGTAGGTTAGTTTGTTCACAAACATCCAAGCTTAAAAATAATGGCCAGCCCGGCTATACACGTTTCTGTTATTCAGTTCTAGTGCTGTTTGCAATTTGTAGTAATTACCCACATTTAATAAAGTTGAAAGTTTGGTTAATGTTGAGCACAAGACAGCTTGTTGTATTTTAGCAAGTTTTTTCTTTGCAGAAACACGATTTTGTGCGGATGGTGAAAACTAAATCAATTTTAAAATTATTTATGAACTGAATAACCACGACAATGACTGACAAAGTTAATGATACTATTATAAAAATGGTAACGAATTTGAAGCCGAGTGTGGATTTGGAAGTCAACAATTTCTCCTGTGGCACACCTCTGAAACGTTCATCCAGTTCAGTTTCAAATGATAGTCAAACCAGTTCTGAAGAATCTACAAGGATTAAAAGGATGAAGTACGCAAAAGAAATGAATTTTGGGTATATGGCGTCACCGCGAGAAACGAGACGTTTAAGAACTGATTTACTAGAGGGTCGAAACACTATAATGAATTTAGAAAGTAGAATCCAACATATGCATAACGTTAGAAAAGAAATGGAAATAATGTATGAAAACGAAAGTAAATTACTTAAGAAACAACATGAAAGTGACCGAAAATCAATCGAAGAGTTGGAAGCGCAATTACAGTCAATACGACAAAGAGAGGCTGATCTTAAGAAACAACTTGCTGATGTGAGTACTAGATGTGTAATAATAATGTTACTAAAGAGTTTATTTATAGGTAAATAACAAGTACAGTATGTTGAAAGTACGAAAAGACGAGGAGATTGAAGAATTAGAGAAGAGTCTTACTGAAATGAAGGAAGAATCACGTTTGTTTGATGGTGAAGAGAATGCAGAAATTATATTATTAAATCGCAAATTAGCAGAACTGCAAATGATGCTAGATGCAGCCGAGGAGGATGCAGAGGCACAAAAAAAGCTAGTTTTAGAATTAGGTAATTATCGCAATAACGCTGAACATTGAAGATTTTATATTTATTGTTATTATTAGAAAAGCGTCTGACAGAAAAAAGCGTCACGGAGAGGGAATTAGAAAGAAAAGATCAAGCATTACAAGTTGCACTTCTAAAAATCAAGGATCTGGAGTATGCCAAAGAAAATTTTTTGGAGTTTCAAGACCAAGCAAAGGTAATAAATGATTATCATGGTTGTGTATACTACCATTGTTTAAGTATATTATAGTTGGACAACTTATATGGAGAATCACTTTTCCATGTAGATATTTTAATATTTTATGTCTCACTCGCTTCACTATGAAGTGTATGAAAGGGGGTAAAAATAGTGTGTAAGCAAATTGAATTATCAAAAAATTAAAAATTTTAAAAATCGAAAAATTAAAAAACTAGAAATTGAAACTTAAAACATTGAAAAATTCAAATATAGGAAAATTGGAAAATCGAAAATTCAAAAATTCCGAAAATTGAGAAATTGAAATACATATAGAATAACTGAAAAATTTAATTTTTCAACGTTTTAAATTTATAGATTTTTCGATTTATCAATTTTTCCATTTTAAACATTTTGATTTTTCGATTTTGGCCTTTTTCGCTTTCTCAATTTTTCGATTTTTCGACTTCTCGAAGTTTGATTTTTTTTTATTTTTCAGTTCTTCAGTATTTCTATTTTTCAATTTTGCTGTTTTACGATTTTTTTATGTTTCGAGTTTTTGCCAACTTGGTTTTTCGATTTTTAAACTATTTGTTACTTTTCAACTTTTATTTTTCTCGATTTTTCAGTTTTTCAATTTTTAAATTTCTGGATTTTTCGATTTGTCTAGTTTTCAATTCTCTATTTCATTTTTTAAATTTTCGATTTTGTAATTTTTCGATTTTTCAATTTTTTGATTTCTCGATTTATCAAGATTCGGACGTTCCAATGGTTTGATCGTTCATTTTCTCGATTTATCAATTTTTAACTTTTCTTTCGGCGTTCGACTCCTCGATTTTTGGGCTTTTCAATTTCTCGATTTTTTAGTTATCCAATTTTTCAATTTTTCTGGAGTTTCGAATTCTCGATTTGTCGATTTTTCAGTTTTTCGATTTTAAATTTTAAATTTTCGAATTTTTATTTTTTGCTTGGATTTCTAGATTCTTCAATTTTTCAAATTTTGACGTTGCTAAATTTTCAGTTTTCCGATTTCTCAATCCTTCTATTTTTGATTTTTCCACTTCTCAAAGTTTCGATTTTTCAGTTCTGCAATTCTTCAATTTTTCGACTTTATTGGTTTTTCGATTTCTCAATTTTCCAATTTTTTAATTACCCAATTTGTGGATATTTTTTTCAGTTTTGAGATTTGTCAATATTTCGGTTTTTCGAAGTCTGGATTTTTCGATTTTTTATTTTTGGATTTTCAGTTTTTCGTTTTTTGATCTTTAGATTTTTCAATTTTTCGATTGTTTTATTTCAATTTCTCAATTTTTCAACTTTTCCATATTTTAATTTTTCAATTTTTAATTTCTCGAGTTTCCAGTTCTATTTTTCAATTTTTCGAATTTTTAAATTTTCGATTTCTCAATTTTCTGAGATCTTGATTTATCGAGACTCGGATTTTTCGATGTTTTGATTTTTCGATTTCTCGATGTCTCAGTTTTTGAATTTTACGATGTCTCGATTTTTCGATTTTTACTTTTCGGTTTCTCGAGTTTTCGATGTTTCGATTTTTGAATTATCGGATTTTTGATGTTTGGATTTCTCCATTTTTCAATTTTACGATATTTTAATTTTTCAAATTTTGATATTTCTGAATTTTCAGTTTTCGGATTTCTCAATTAATCTATTTTTTTATTTTCCCATTTCTCCACTTCCCAAAGTTTCCATCTTTCAGTTCTTCGGTTCTTCAATATTTCGATTTTTCAGGGTTTTGATTTTTCAATTTTTCGATTTTTTGAGTTTGCGATTTTTCGACTTGGCTTTTTTGACTTTTCGGGGTCTGTCTCAATTTTTTAATTCCATAATTTTTGGATATTTCGTTCAATTTTGTGATTTTTAGTTTTTCGATTTTTCAATTTTTCTTCCATTTTTCAATTTTTTAATATTTGAGTATTGGGATTATTTTGTATTTCGACTTTTCGAGTTCTGGATTTTTCGGTTTCTCGACTTTCTACTGTTTGGATTTTCAATTTTCCGATTTTTAAATTTTAAAAAAATAAAAATCGAGAAATTGAACAATCGATTAATTGAAAAATCGAAACATCGTAAGATTAAAAAAAATTGGAAAATCGAAAATTTCAAAAATTCCGAAAATTGAAAAATTCAAATATAGAAGAACTGAAAACTCGAGAAATCGAAAAACCTAAAATTTTAAAAATTGAAAAGTTAAAATATCGAAAAGTTGAAAAATTGAGAAATCGAAGCATAAAACAGTTAAAAATTGAAAAATCCAAAGTTTAAAAAACGGAAAATTGAAAATCCAAAAAGTAAAAAGTCGAGAAATCGAAAAATCCAGAACTCAAAAAGTCGAAATACTAAAAAATCCCAAAACTCAAATATCGAAAAATTGAAAAATAGAAGAAAAATTGAAGAATCGAAAAACTGAAAAATTATAAAATTGAACGAAATATCCAAAAATTAGGAAATCAAAAAATCGAGAAACCGAAAAATCAAAAAAGCAAGATCGAAAAATCGCAAACTTTAAAAATCGATAAATTGAAGAACCGAAGAACTGAAAGATGGAAACTTTGGGAAGTGGAGAAATGGGAAAATAAAAAATAGATTAATTGAGAAATCCGAAAACTGAAAATTCAGAAATGTCAAAAATTGAAAAATTAAAAAACCATTGAAGAACTGAAAAATCGAAATGTCTAAAATTTTAAACATTGAATAATTGAAATATCGTAAAATTGAAAAATAGAGAAATCCAAACATCAAAAAATCAATGAAATAAAAATTCGAAAATCGAAAAAGTGAAAAATCAACGAATCGAGAAATCGAACCTCGAAAATTTAAAAAATTGGAAAATTGAAAAATCGGATAATTCAAAAATCGAAACATTGTCAAGTTGAGAAACCGAAAAGTAAAAAATCGAAAAATCGGTACATCGTAAAATTCAAAAACTGAGACAACGAGAAATCGAAAAATCAACAGATCGAAAAATCGAGATGTCAAAAAAGAAGAACTCGAAAATCGAAATACAAAAAAATCCCAAAACTCAAATATCGAAAAATTGAAGAATCGAAAAACTAAAAAATCACAAAATTGAACGAAATATCAAAAAAATGAGAAAACGAAAAGTCAAAAAAGCAAAGTCGAAAAATCGAAAAATTGAAAAATCAAAAAATTGAAGGACCAAAGAACTGAAAGATGGAAACTTTGGAAAGTGGAGAAATGGGGAAATAAAAAAGTAGATTAATTGAGAAATCCGAAAACCGAAAATTCAGAAACGTCAAAATTTGAAAAATTTAAAAATATTGAACTGAAAAATTGAAAAACCTAAAATTTAAAAATCGAAAAACTGAAAAATCAACGAATCGACGAATCGAAACTCGAAAATTTAAAAAATTGGAAAATTGAAAAATCGGATAATTCAAAAATCAAAACATCTAAAAGTCGAGAAATCGAAAAATCGAGAAGTCGAAAAATTGAGAAACCGAAATATGCCAAAATGGAAAAATTGATAAATCGAGAGGTTGAACAATCAAAATATCAAAACATCCGAATCTCGATAAATCGAGATCTCAAAAAATTGAAAACTCCAAAATTTAAAAATTCGGAAAATTGAAAAATAGAACTGGAAACTCAAGAAATCGAAAAATCTAGAAATTTAAAACACTGAAAAATTAAAATATGGAAAAGTAGAAAAATTGAGACATTGGAATGTAAAACAATCGAAAAATTAAAAAATCTAAATTTAAAAAAACGAAAAACTGGGAAAATAAAAAAATTGATTAAATTGAGAAATGTCAAAATTTGAAAAACTAAAAAATATTGAAGAACAGAAAAATTGAAAAATCTAAAATTGAAAACATTGAAAAGCTAAAATATCGTAAAACTGAAAAATGGAGAAATCCAATCAAAAAATCAAAAAATTAAAAATTCGAAAATCTAAAATTTAAAAATCGAAAAACTGAAAAATCAATCGAGGAATCGAAACTCGAAAATTAAAAAAATTGGAAAATTCAAAAATCGGATAATTCAAAAATCAAAACATCGAAAAGTCGAGAAACCGAAAGTTAAAAATCGAAAAATCGATACATCGTAAAATTCAAAAACTGAGACATCGAGAAATAAACAAATTGAGAAACCGAAATAGGCCAAAATGAAAAAATTGATAAATCGAGAGATTGAACAATCAAAATATCGAAACATCCGAATCTCGATACATCGAGATCTCAAAAAATTGAAAACTCGAAAATTTAAAAATTCGGAAAATTGGAAAATAGAACTGGAAACTCGAGAAATCGAAAAATCTAGAAATTTAAAAACTGAAAAATTAAAATATGGGAAACTTGAAAAATTGAGAGATTGAAATATAAAACAATCGAAAAATTGAAAAATCTAAAGTTTAAAAAACGAAAAACTGAAAATCCGATAATAAAAAATCGAAAAGTCGAAGAATCGAAATATTAAAAAATCTCAAAATTTAAAGAAATATCCAAAAATTGAGGAATTAAAAATTGGAAAATTGAGAAATCGAAAAAATAATAAATAAAGTAAAATCGAAAAATTGAAGAATTGAAGAACTGAAAAATCGAAACTTTGAGAAGTGGGAAAATCAAAAATGGATTGATAGAAACATCGGAAAAGTGAAAATTCAGCAACGTCAAAATTTGAAAAATTTCAAACGTTGAACAATTAAAATATTGCAAAATTGAAGAATCTAGAAATCCAAACATAAAAAAAGAAAATAATTCGAAAATTTAAAATTTAAAAATCGAAAAACTGAGAAATCTACAAATCGAAAATTCGAAACTCCAAAATTTAAAAAATCGAAACATTGAAAAATTGGAAGATCGAGAAATCCAAAAATCGAAACATCGAAAAATTCAAAAACTGAGACATCGAGAAATCGAAAAATCAAAAGATCGAAAAATTGAGGAGTGGGAAACCGAAAAGAAAAGTTAAAAATTAAAAAAAAATGATAAATCGAGACATTGAACAATCAAAACCACGAAACATCTGAATTCGATAAATCGAGAAATCAAAAATTTTAAAAATCGAAAAATTGAAAAATAGAAATATGTATTGAAGAAATGAAAAATCCAGAATTTGAAAAATCGCAAATTTAAAACATTAAAAAATTTAAATATGAAAAAATTGTAAACAAAAAAAAAATGGAAACATGAAAAAAACAAAAAAATAAAAACTGGAAAATCGAAAATTTAAAAATTCTGAAAATTGGAAAATTGAAATATAGAAGAACTGAAAACTCGAGAAATCGAAAAACCTAAAATTTTAAAAATTGAAAAGTTAAAATATCGAAAAGTTGAAGAATTGAAAAATCAAAGCATAAAACAAAAATTTAAAAAAACCAAACTTTAAAAAACGGAAAATTGAAAATCTAAAAAGTAAAAAGTCGAGAAATCGAAAAATCCAAAACTCGAAAAGTCTAAATACAAAAAAATCCCAAAAAAAATAGAAGAAAATTTGAAAAATTGAAGAACCGAAGAACTGAAAGATGGAAACTTTGGGAAGTGGAGAAATGGGAAAATAAAAAAATAGATTAATTAAGAAATCCGAAAACTGAAAATTCAGAAATGTCAAAATTTGAAAAATTAAAAAAAATTAATAATAATAATTATATAATAAAATTGAAAAATGGAGAAATCCAAACATCAAAAAAATAAAAATTCGAAAATCTAAAATTTAAAAATCGCAAAACTGCAAAAAATCAACAAATCAGGAAATCCAAAAATTAAAAATCAAAAAGTCGAAGAATCGAAATATTGAAAAATGTCAAAACTGAAATAAATATCCAAAAATTGAGGAATTAAAAAATTGGAAAATTGAGAAATCAAAAACCATTAAAGCGAACTTGAAAAATCGAAGAATTGGGGAACTGAAAATCGAAACTTTGAGAAATCTAGAAATGGGAAAATCAAAAATAACTGAAAATTTAGCAACGTCAAAATTTGAAAAATTTAAAACAATTGAACAATTAAAATATCACAAAATTGAAGAATCTAGAAGTCCAAACATAAAAAAGCAAAAAAAAAATTCGAAAATCAAAAATTTAAAAATCGAAAAACTAAAAAATTGAAAAATTCGATAACTAAAAAATCGAAACATTGAAAAATAGAAAAATCGAGAAATCCAAAAATCGAAACATCGAAAAATCAAAAGATTGAAAAATTAAAAAAATTGATAAATCGAGACAGTCAACAAAATCATGAACATCTGAATTCGATAAATCGAGAAATCGAAAAATTTTAAAAAAGAAAAACTGGAAAATCGAAAATTTAAAAATTCGAAAAACTGAAATATGTATAGAAGAACTGAAAACCCGAGATATCGAAAAACCTAGAATTTTAAAAATTGAAATATTAAAACATCGAAAAGTTGAAAAATTGAGAAAACGAAGAATAAAACAGTCGAATAATTGAAAAATCTAAAGATTAGCAAAAAATTGAAAATCCAAAAAGTAAAAAATCGAGAAATCAAAAAAAGCCTAGCAATCGAAAAATCGAAATATTGAAAAATCTCATAACTGAAAGAAATATCCAAAAACTGAGAAACTAAAAAATTGGAAAATTGAGAAATCGAAAACTGAAAATTCAGAAATGTCAAAATTTGAAAAATTAAAAAGTTCGAAAATCTAAAATTTAAAAATCGCAAAACTGCAAAATCAACGAATCGAGAAATCGAAACTCGAAAATTTAAAAAATTGGAAAATTGAAAAATCGGATAATTCATAAAATAAAACATCGAAAACTCGAGAAACCGAAAAGTAAAAAATCGAAAAATCGATACATCCTAAAAATTCAAAAACTGAGACATCGAGAAATCGAAAAATCAAACGATCGAAAAATTGATAAATCGAGAAAATGAACAATCAAAACCACGAAACATCTGAATTCGATAAATCGAAAAATTTTAAAAAAGAAAAACTGGAAAATCGAAAATTTAAAAATTCGAAAAACTAAAATATGGAAGAACTGAAAACTCGAGATATCGAAAAACATAGAATTTTAAAAATTGAAATATTAAAACATCGAAAAGTTGAAAAATTGAGAAAACGAAGAATAAAACAGTCGAAAAATTGAAAAATCTAAAGATTAGCAAAAAATTGAAAATCCAGAAAGTAAAAAATCGAGAAATCAAAAAAAGTCCAGCAATCGAAAAATCGAAATATTGAAAAATCTCATAACTGAAAGAAATATCCAAAAACTGAGAAATTAAAAAATTGGAAAATTGAGAAATCGAAAAACTAAAGAAGCAAAGTCGAAAAATCGTAAGCTTAAAAAATCGAAAAAGTGAAGACTTGAAGAAGTGAAAAATTGAAACTTTAGGAAGTCGAGAACTGGAAAAATAAAAAATAAAGTTACTTGAGAAATCGGAAAACTGAAAATTTAGAAACGTGAAAATCTGGAAAATTGGAAAATCGAAATATTTAAAAATCGCAAAATTGAAGAGGACAAAAATTAAGAAATCGTATCATTGAAACATCGGAAAATTGAGAAATCCAAAAATAAAAAAAGTTCAGCACTATGCTACTTTTTAACATTTAAATAACATTATAAATGGGAAAATGTTGATTTTTTTTTCCAAAAATCTTGACGTTCCTTGTCCCAAAGCTCACTATTTAGACGAAGTAACATTTGTATTAGGTTGTCTAACTAAAATATACCTACTTAAACAATGATACTACTCACATGTTTTAGACACAAGTACAAAAATTAGCAAACTACGTTGATTTGGAGAAGGACGTTGAAAAACTTAAATGTGAAAACGTAAGACTAAAAGATGAAGTTAAAAATAAATTATTGTTGGAGGAAGAGGTTCATGATTTAAAATCTCGGCTTACTCATTACAAGGAACAAGAAAAAAGAATTGCGGCTTTACAGGTAATTTTTCGCACGATTTATTTGTTGTTTAGTTACTCTTGTGTGTCAGGCTGAACAAGTACAAACTCAAGTGTACTTAAATGAATGGAGATCAGTGGCTCGTGGAATTTGTGAAGTAACAGGATCAGACTCATCATTGCCCCATCTGCTCAGATGTGTAGTTGAAAGACTGCAACAACAAGAAATATCTTTGACTTCGTCTAAAGTTGAGTTAGAATCACAACTATCGACGGCTTTATATGTAAGTATATAGCGACAGTTTTTTAGTATGTAATTTACATAATTTGTTTATATTTTAGGAGCAGAAAGTGGCCAAAACGGAATTAGAAAAGTCGCAGAAACTCCTGGTAGAAATGAAGAAAACAATTGAACAGAAGCAGAATCTTTTCCATCGAATGCAGAAGAAACTTGGGCTTGTCAGTCGCGAACGAGATAGCTACCGTTTACAGCTGGATTCGTATGAAAAAGACCTCACAATGGCTATCAATCCACCTTCAAATGCACCACATACAAGTCAACTGCAATCACAAAAAGAAAGAATCGAGTCTTTAGAGAAAATTGTTGATAATTACAGAGAACTGAATGCTAAATTAGAAAGTGACTTGCAGAGTAGTAACCCGTCTTTATATTCTGGTATGACGATATTTTAAAGTTTTTCTTAAGAATATAATCACGAATTTTTTACAGAACATGGAACAAATAAGACAGAACTTCTTGTGAAACTGCAAGATGAAGTAGAGCAGTTGAAGTTGGAGAATGATATGTTGAAACAGAAACGCGATCAACTGGAAATTCAGTTAGAAGGTCTTCTAGTGGGGCAAGACACACTCCATGGTGGTAAAGTGTATCATTTGGGGAACAATCCGCTGGCTGAATGCTTAGCGCAAAGGGAGCAGTTAGTGGAAAAGTTGGAACAAGAGGTATATTTCATTTAGTTTCTTTTTAAATTTTTTTCTATTGGTGTTCTTGCTGAAAAGTTGATGACGTCATCATAAGATTTTATTATGAAAAAGTCACTTGAAACACCTGCATAGCATGTTGAGTTTTCACCTTAGACGTCAAGATTTTTGGAAAAAAAACATTTTCTAATTTATAATGTTATTTAAATGTTAAAAAGTAGCATAGTCCTGAAGTTGTGATTTATAAATACGCTATTGAGATTTTTCGGCTTTTCGTTTTCTCGATTTTCAGCTTTAGATGTCTCAATTTTTCAATATTTCAATTTTGGACTTATTCAATTTTTCCATTGTTGAAATTTTCGATTTCTCGATTTTTTTATTTTTCGATTTCTCAATTTTCCGATGTTTCAATGATACGATTTCTAAATTTTTGTCCTCTTCAATTTTGCGGTTATAATAGTATTGAATATTATTTTTCAATTTTTCAAATTTTCGTGTTTCTAAATTTTCAGTTTTCCAATTTCTGAAGTAACTTTTTTTTATTTTTCTATTTCCCAACTTTCCAAAGTTTCAATTTTTCACTTGTTCAGTTTTTCGATTTTTTAAGCTTACGATTTTTCGACTTTGCTTTTTTAGTTACGATTTCTCAATTTTCGAATTTTTTAATTTCTCAGTTTTTTGGATATTTCTTTCAGTTATGCGATTTTTCAATTTTTCGACTGTTTTGTTCTTCGTTTTCCATGTTTTAATATTTCAATTTTTAAAATTCTAGGTTTTTCGATATCTCGAGTTTTCAGTTCTTCCATATTTTAGTTTTTCGAATTTTTAAATTTTCGATTTTCTAGTTTTTCTTTTTTTAAATTTTTCGATTTATCGAACTCAGATGTTTCGTGGTTTTGATTGTTCATTTTCTCGATTTATCAATTTTTTAATTTTTAACTTTAACTTTTTTTCGGCTTCCGAGTCCTCAATTTCTCGATCTTTTGATTTTTCGATTTTTCGATGTCTCAGTTTTTGAATTTTTCGATGTTTCGACTTTTGGATTTCTCGATTTTCCAATTTTTCAATGTTTCGATTTTTTCAGTTATCAGATTTTTCAATTTTTCGATTTTTTTAATTTTGGAGTTTCGAATTTTCGATTGGTCGATTTTTCAGTTTTTCGATTTTTAAATTTTAAATGTTCGAATTTTTTTTGCTTTTTTGTTTAGATTTCTAGATTCTTCAATTTTGCAATATTTTAATTGTTCAATGTTTTAAAGTTTTCAATTTTTCAAATTTTGACGTTGCTAAATTTTCAGTTTTCCGATTTCTCAATCGATCTATTTTTGATTTTCCCACTTCTCAAAGTTTCGATTTTTCAATTCTGCAATTCTTCGATTTATTGGTTTTTCGATTTCTCAATTTTTTAATTCCTCAGTTTTTGGATATTTCTTTCAGTTTTGAGATTTTTTCAATATTTCAATTCTTCGACGTTTCGATTTTTCGATTTTTTATTTTTGGATTTGCAGTTTTTTGATTGTTTTATATTTCAATTTCTCAATTTTTCTACTTTTCCATATTTTAACTTTTCAGTTTTTAAATTTCTAGATTTTTCGAGTTTCCGGTTCTATTTTTCAATTTTCCGAACTTTTAAATTTTCGATTTTTCAATTTTTTGAAGATCTCGATTTATCGAGATTTGGATGTTTCTCGATTTATCAATTTTTCCATTTTGGCCTATTTCGGTTTTTCAATTTTACGATGTATCGATTTTTCGATTTTCTAGTTTTCGGTTTCTCGACTTTTCGATGTTTCTGAATTTTCCAATTTTTGAGTTTCGATTTCTCGATTCGTTGATTTTTAGTTTTTCGATTTTTAAATTTTAGATTTTTCAGTTTTTCAGTTCTTCAAAATTTTTTAGTTTTTCAATTTTTGATATTTCTAAATTTTCAGTTTTCGGATTTCTCAATGAATCTATTTTTTATTTTCCCATTTCTCCACTTCCCAAAGCTTCCATCTTTCAGTTCTTCGGTTCTTCAATTTTTCGATTTTTCAGGTTTTTGATTTTTCAATTTTTCGACTTTGTTTTTTTGACTTTTCAGTTTCACAATTTTTTAATTCCCCAATTTTTTGATATTTCGTTCAATTTTGTGATTTTTTAGTTTTTCGCTTCTTTTCTTTTTTTTCAATTTTTCAATTTTTCGATATTTGAGTTTTGGGATTTTTTTGTATTTCGACTTTTCGAGTTCTCGACTTTTTACTTTATGAATTTTCAATTTTCCGTTTTTTAAACTTTAGATTTTTCAATTTTTTACCTGTTTTATGCTTAGATTTCTCGAGTTTTCAGTTCTTCTATATTCCAATTTTTAAATTTTCAGATTTTTTAAATTTTCGATTTTCCATTTTTTTTTTTAATTTTTCGAAGTTTCAATTTTTCAATTAACCGATCGTTCAATTTCTCGATTTTTAAATTTTAGATTTTTTTGTTTTTTTCATGTTTGGATTTCTCGATTTTACAATTTTCTCATATTTAAATTTTTCAATGTTTTAAATTTTCGATTTTTCGCTTTCTCGATTTTTTATTTCTTCAATAATTCTATTTTTCAATTTTTCGGTTTTTTAACTTTGCCATCTTGGTTTTTCGGTTTTTAAAATTTTTCGATTTTTAGATTTCCCGATTTTTTAGTTTCCGGTTTAGCAGTTTCTGCAACATTATTAGTTCTGGGAACTTTTCAATTTCTAGTTTTTTAATTTTTCGATTTTGAAAATTTTTGATATCTCGATTTATCGAATTCAGATGTTTCGTAGTTTTGATTATTCAATTTCTCGATTTAGCAATTTTTCAATTGTTAACTTTTCTTTTCGGCTTCCGACTCCTCGATTTTTCGATCCTCTGATTTTTCGATTTCTCGATGGGTCAGTTTTTGAATTTTTCGACGTTTCGATTTTTGGATTACTCGATTTTACGATTTTTTACTTTAGGGCTTTTCAATTTCTCGATTTTCCAATTTTTCAATGTTTCGATGTTTTAGTTATACGATTTTTCAGTTTTTCGATTTTTAAATTCTGGAGTTTCGAATTCTCGAATTGTCGATTTTTCAGTTTTTCGATTTTTAAATTTTCGAATTTTTATTTTTTGCTTTTTTTATGTTTGGATTTTGCGATATTTTAATTGTTCAAATTTGTTCAATTTTACAAATTTTGACGTTGCTAAATTTTCAGTTTTCCAATTTCGCAATCAATATATTTTTGATTTTCCCATTTCTAGACTGGTCAAAGTTTCGATTTTTCAGTTCTCCAATTCTTCGATTTTTCGACTTCGCTTTATTGGTTTTCCGATTTTTCAATACATATTTCGATTCTTCGACGTTTATTTTTGGATCTTCAGTTTTTTAGATTTTTCAGTTTTTAAATTTCTAGATTTTTCGATTTCTCGAGTTTCCGGTTCTATTTTTCAATTTTCCGAATTTTTAAATTTTCGATTTTTCAATTTTTTGAGATCTCGATTTATCAATTTTTCGATTTTTAACTTTTCGATTTTTCGATTTTGACCAATGTATTTCGGCTTCTCAATTTTTCGCCTTTTCGACTCCTCGATATCTCGATTTTTTGATTTTTTGATTTCTCGATGTCTCAGTTTTTGAATTTTACGATGTATCGATTTTTCGATTTTTTTAGTTTTCAATTTTCCAATTTTTTAAATTTTCGAGTTTCGATTCCTGGATTCATTGTTTTTCGATTTTTAAATGTTAGATTTTCGAATTTTAATTTTTTTTATTTTTTCATGTTTGGATTTCTCCATTTTTCAATTTTAGATTTTTCAATTTTTCAGTTTTTGAATTTCTCAATTAATTCATTTTTTTATTTTCCCATTTCTCTACTTTCCAAAGTTTCCATCTTTCACTTCTTCTATATTTCAATTTTTCGATTTTTAAATTTTCGATTTTCCAGTTTTTTGATTTCTCGATTTATCGAATTCAGATGTTTCTTGGTTTTGATTCCTCAATTTGTCGATTTATCAATTTTTCAAATTTAACTTTTCTTTTCGGCTTCCGACTCCTCGATTTTTCGATTTTTCGATGTCTCAGTTTTTGAATTTTTCGATGTGTCAATTTTTGGATTTCTCGGTTTTCCGATTTTTTCCTTTTGTGCTTTTCAATTTCTTGATTTTCTAATTTTTCAATGTTTCAATTTTTTAGTTATCCGATTTTTCAATTTTTCAATTTTTTAAATTCTGGAGTTTCGAATTCTCGATTTGTCGTTTTTCAGTTTTTTTATTTTTAAATTTTTGAATTTTTATTTTTTGTTTGGATTTCTAGATTCTTCAATTTCGCGACATTTCAATTGTTCAATGTTTTAAATTTTTCAATTTTTCAAATTTTGATGTTGCTAAATTTTCAGTTTTCCGATTTCTCAATCAATATATTTTTGATTTTCCCACTTCTCAAAGTTTCGATTATCCAGTTCTCCAATTCTTCGATTTTTCTACTTCGCTTTATTGGTTTTTGGATTTCTCAATTTTCCAACTTTTTAATTCCCCAATTTTTGGATATTTCTTTCAGTTTTGAGATTTTTCAATATTTCGATTCTTCGACTTTTCAACTTCAGGATTTTTCGATTTTCTATTTTTGGATTTTCAATTTTTCGTTTTTTAAACTTTGGATTTCTCAATTTCTCGATTGTTTTATATTTCAATTTCCCAATTTTTCAACTTTTCTATATTTTAATTTTTAAATTTGTATATTTTTCGATTTCTCGAGTTTCCAGTTCTATTTTTCAATTTTCCGAATTTTTAAATTTTCGATTTTTGGACTTCTCGACTTTTCGACTTTCGATTTCTCGTTGTCCCAGTTTTTGAATTTTACGATTTTTCAATTTTCCAATTTTTTTAATTTTCGAGTTTCGATTTCTCGATTCTTTGATTTTTCAGTTTTTCGATTTTTAAATTTAGATTTTCGAATTTTAATTTTTTTGATTTTTTCATGTTTGGATTTCTCCATTTTTCAATTTTAGATTTTTCAATTTTTCAGTTCTTCAATATTTTTTAATTTTTCAAATTTTGACATTTCTGAATTTTCAGTTTTTGGATTTCTCAATTAAACCATTTTTTTATTTTCCCATTTCTCCACTTCCCAAAGTTTCCATCTTTCAGTTCTTCTATATTTCAATTTTTCGAATTTTTAAATTTTCGATTTTCCAGTTTTTCTTTTTTAAAATTTTTCGATTTTTCAATTTTTTGATTTCTCGATTTATCGAATTCAGATGTTTCTTGGTTTTGATTCTTCAATTTCTCGATTTATCAATTTTTCAAATTTAACTTTTCTTTTCGGCTTCCGACTCCTCGATTTTTCGATTTCTCGATGTCTCAGTTTTTGAATTTTTTGATGTGTCGATTTTTGGATTTCTCGGTTTTTCGATTTTTTCCTTTTGTGCTTTTCAATTTCTTGATTTTCCAATTTTTCAATGTTTCAATTTTTTAGTTATCCGATTTTTCAATGTTTCGATTTTTTAAATTCTGGAGTTTCGAATTCTCGATTTGTCGATTTTTCAGCTTTTCGATTTTTAAATTTTCGAATTTTTATTTTTTCCTTTGTTTATATTATATTATAAATTTTATTGACTAACAGAACAAAGTTCCAAAATAGACAATAGTTTTAAAAAACAGAATATGAAATAAGATGTCCTTATAACTACAAACGTCTTAAATCATTGTTTAAACATATGTTGCGAGCAACTGAAGATATCTATTTATGTTTGGATTTCTAGATTCTTCAATTTTGCGATATTTTGATTGTTCAATGTTTTAAATTTTTCAATTTTTAAAATTTTGACATTGCTAAATTTTTAGTTTTCCGATTTCTCAATCAATCTATTTTTGATTTTCCCACTTCTCAAAGTTTCGATTTTTCAGTTCTCCAATTCTTCGACTTCGCTTTATTGGTTTTTCGATATCTCAATTTTCCAATTTTTTAATTCCTCAATTTTTGGATATTTCTTTTAGTTTTGAGATTTTTCAATTTTTCGATTTTTCCACTTCTGGATTTTTTGATTTTTTATTTTTGGATTTTCAGTTTTTCGTTTTTTAAACTTTACATTTTTCAATTTTTGAACTTTTCCATATTTTAATTTTTCAATTTTTAAATTTCTAGATTTTTCGATTTCTCGAGTTTCTAGTTCTATTTTTCAATTTTCCGAATTTTTCAATTTTCGATTTTTCAATTTTTTAAATTTTCGAGTTTCGATTTCTCGATTCGTTGATTTTTCGATTTTTAAATGTTAGATTTCGTATTCTTCTTTTTTTGATTTTTCGATTTTTCAATTTTACGATATTTTAATTTTTCGAATTTTGACATTTCTGAATTTTCAGTTTTCGGATTTCTCAATTAATCAATTTTTTTATTTTCCCATTTCTCCACTTCCCAGTTTCCATCTTTCAGTTCTTCGGTTCTTCAATTTTTCGATTTTTCAGGGTTTTGATTTTTCAATTTTTTAATTTCCTAATTTTTGGATATTTCGTTCAATTTTGTGATTTTTCAGTTTTTCGATTCTTCAGTTTTTGATAGTTGAGTTTTGGAATTTTTTCGTATTTCGACTTCGATTTCTCGACTTTTTACTTTTTGGATTATCAATTTTCCGTTTTTAAATTTTAGATTTTTCAATTGTTTAACTGTTTTATGCTTCGATTTCTCAACTTTCCAGTTCTTCAATTTTTCTATTTTCGGAATATTATTTAAATTTTAGATTTTCCAATTTTTATTTTTTTGATTTTTTCATGTTTGGATTTCTCGATTTTTCAGTTCTTCAATATTTCTATTCTTCAATTTTGCCATCTTGGTTTTTCGGTTTTTAAAATTTTTCGACTTTTCGATTTCTCAATTTTTGCAACATTATTAGTGTACAACGCACTGACTAATACGTCAGTTTACTACCTTATCGACATCACGTGCTTACACACTAGTTTTACCCCCTTTGACTATAATATACTTAAACAATGACCGAACCTTGATGTGATGTTAATTTTAGGTGGAAAGGCTAAAGATCAAGATTAAAAAACTAGAAGAAGGAATTGAATCCAGCAAACTTGGTGAATCAGCTTTGTGTCCAGAAGAAATCCACACCCTAAAAGAACAAATAAAAACTCATGAGTCTCAAACGCAACGGCTCAAGGATTATTTTAAATCGTCTCTGCATGAATTCAGAAATGTTATTTACATGTTGTTGGGTTACAAGATAGATCGAACTTCGACGTCGCTGTACAAGTTGACGAGTATTTATGCAGAACGGGCTGAAGATCAATTATGCTTCCAATTAAATAATGAAGGAAATCTGAATTTACTGGAGAATGAATTCAGCTCGACTTTGGAGGAAATGGTCAATTTACATTTACGCCACCAAAAATCGATTCCAGTGTTTTTGAGCTCCCTGACTATAGATTTGTTTAACAACAGTACAATGGCAACTAAAACGTTCGAGATAGAATAAACCGATTTGTGTGTTTGATGCATAATTATATTAATATAGGTTTTTCAATGTCATGTCAATACTGCTCATGAAGTTTTTATTTTACTTTATTTAACCTAAGTTATATAGTGTAGTATAATTATTTTTAATGTTAAATCTCAATTACAAACATAGATAAAAACGTGAAGAAGCATTTATATTTTATTTAACCCAATTAATGGATGAAACTTTACTTTTCGTTTTGGAAATTTCAAAACATAAAAAAATTCAAAATATCAGATAAAATGCGGCGTGAAAAAGCGTAAAATTCTAGTAATGAGAAATGATGTTATCTCCAAATAAAATTATTTTACGTGTATATTTTGTGAATAAATTTGTGGCATATAATCTTCAAAGACGTTTTTTTATTTATTAATTTGTCTTGATCGTTACAGCTGATAAATAATTAAATTTTTACAAGGAATCGGTTTCTGTAAATATAAAAATAAAAATTAGTTTTGGCACAAAACAATAAAAAAACAGTTACAGAACTCAAGTCTTACATGAATAACACATTATTACATTACAATGTATACTTTCCAGTTTTTTTACTTAATTTGTGTCGTCGGCTGTACTGCAGGAAAGAACTAACCCAATTTGCCACAGTATACCCTAGTATAGTTCCTACACAGCATGGAATAGGCCAGGTTTGCCATGGGCGGTTCCAATCTAACGGTATTGCAATGGCCCCTAACCATGCCCCAAACAATGTTAATCGGAGTTTCAACATAAACAAATTCTGAATTTCGCTTCCATCGAATGACGTTATTGACAAGAACATTGTTACTGCAGTTTCTGCTCCAAAATGTAGACAGATGGGCAGAGCAGTGAATGTTGCTACCAAAAGAGTAAACATAAAAGTTTCTTCTATTTTTGAAAATACTGAAGCTCCAAATAATACTGTGACCACATACATAGCGCACACAAACAAAATAACTGCTAGTACAGACTTTGTAAGGTCCTTTATGGTCCTATGAACTGTTTTCTGACTGCGTGCAAATATAACAAATTTTAATACTTCCAAGAAAGCAAGTATTAAAATGTTGTAAATACTGATTGCATTTCCTAGTAATAATACGTAGTTACTATGGTATAGAAAAAGTGTGGCAAGTGGTAAATATAACGATGTGCACAGGTCATTCCAGTGTACTATTTTCGAATAATCTTGACAAACTTGTTTCGATTGCATGGTGATAATGAGAACCTAAAATGCAAGGAAAATGAGTGCATCTCTATATTAAATTATAACATACTTTGATCACTTAACAAAAATAATTTTGGCTCCTATTTTAGGTTACCACTTTATGTTCTTTTTTTCTAACCTATGAGACTTTTTCTTCATGTCAACCACATGTCAAACATAAGTCAAATGTCAACACAGATCCCAGGAGTTTATCCCATAGATGAAATAGAAATAGACGGGCGACTTTCTCATTCAAAAAGTGTATTGAATTTCTGCGCTATCTATATTTGCTGTTACAAACCTAAGCAACAAAATCAACACCATGTGTTAGAAACTTGTAATTATATACATGACCACGAAATTCAAATCTTTTATTTTGTCTTTTTACTTCCCGACCGCTGGCCGACTACACTTTTTTGTTTTCTCGACTTATGACCTTTATAATTTGCCCATTTTTTTCCAATTTACGAAGTTTTTTTTCCCAACAAGAAACTGAAAAGATGTTAACTATCATCCTGTTATTGAAATAAAACTCTAAATTAAAAAAAAAGATTAAACAAGAAAAGACGGCTACATATTTAAATAAAGAGGGCAAAATATAAGCCCCGCCCACCCGCCCTATCTCAATTGTGATGATTTTTTCATTCCTGATAAGACCGAGGGACGGGATTTAATTTTAACATCAAAGTTAATCTAGAGAAATTATACCCTTTTAAAAAGATATTTCATATGGTAATTTCTTGTAGAGAAATAAGCTCACGATGAATAAAAAATTCATCACAGTTGAGAAGGGGTGGAATGGGCGGGGCTTATATTTTGCCCATTTTTTGTTAATATACGACCTCTTTTTTTCCCAACAAGAAACTGAAAATATATTAACTATAATCCTGTTATGGAAATAAAACTCTATATTAAAAAAAAGATTAAACAAGAAAAGACGGCTACATATATAAAGAAAGAGGGCAAAATATAAGCCCCGCCCACCCACCCTGTCTCAATTGTGATGATTGTAACATATTATTTCTCTAGAAAATTCTACCCTTTTAAAAACAAATTTCACATGGTAATTTCTTGTAGAGAAATGAGCTCACGATGAATAAAAAATTCATCACAATTGAGAAGGGGTGGGTGGGCGGGGCTTATATTTTGTCCATTTTTTCTTAACATACGAAGTCCTCATTTCCAACAAGAAACTCTAAACATGTTAACTATCATCCTGTTATTGAAATAAAAAGACTCTATATTAAAAAAAAAGATTAAACAAGAAAAGACGGCTACATATATAAAGAAAGAGGGCAAAATTACAGTATGCAAAATATAAGTCCCGCCCACCAACCCTGTCTCAATTGTGATGATTTTTTCATTCGTAATCAGATCGAGGGGCGGAGTGCAATTGTAACATATTATTTCTCTAGAAAATTCTACCCTTTTAAAAACAAATTTCACATGGTAATTTCTTGTTGAGAAATGAGCTGACGATGAATAAAAAATTCATCATAATTGAGAAGGGGTGGGTGGGCGGGGCTTATATTTTGCCCATTTTTTGTTAATATACTACCTCTTTTTTTCCCAACAAGAAACTGAAAACATGTTAACTGCCATCCTGTTATTGAAATAAAACTCTAAATTAAAAAAAAAAGATTAAATAAGAAAAGACGGCTACATATTTAAAGAAAGAGGGCAAAATATAAGCCCCGCCCACCCGCCCCATCTCAATTGTGATGATTTTTTCATTCCTGATAAGACCGAGGGACGGGATTTAATTTTAACATCAAAGTTAATCTAGAGAAATTATATCCTTTTAAAAAGATATTTCATATGGTAATTTCTTGTACAGAAATGAACTCACGATGAATAAAAAATTCATCACAATTGAGAAGGGGTGGGTGGGCGGGGCTTATATTTTGCCCATTTTTTGTTAAAATACGACCTCTTTTTTTCCCAACAAGAAACTGAAAACATGTTAACTGCCATCCTGTTATTGCAATAAAACTCTAAATTAAAAAAAGAGATTAAACAAGAAAAGACGGCTACATATTTAAAGAAAGAGGGCAAAATCTAAGCCCCGCCCACCCGCCCTGTCTCAGTTGTGATGATTTTTTCATTCGTAATCAGACCGAGGGGCGGAGTTTAATTGTAACATATTATTTCTCTAGAAAATTCTACCCTTTCAAAAACATATTTCACATCGTAATTTCTTGTAGAGAAATGAGCTCACGATGAATAAAAAATTCATCACAATTGAGAAGGGGTGGGTGGGCGGGGCTTATATTTTGTCCATTTTTTCTTAACATACGAAGTCCTCATTTCCAACAAGAAACTCTAAACATGTTAACTATCATCCTGTTATTGAAATAAAAAGACTCTATATTAAAAAAAAAGATTAAACAAGAAAAGACGGCTACATATATAAAGAAAGAGGGCAAAATTACAGTATGCAAAATATAAGTCCCGCCCACCAACCCTGTCTCAATTGTGATGATTTTTTCATTCGTAATCAGATCGAGGGGCGGAGTGCAATTGTAACATATTATTTCTCTAGACAATTCTACCCTTTTAAAAACATATTTCACATGGTTATTTCTTGTAGAGAAATGAACTCACGATGAATAAAAAATTCATCACAATCGAGAATGGGTGGGTGGGCGGGGCTTATATTTTGCCCATTTTTTCTTAACATACGAAGTCTTTTTTCCCAACAAGAAACGGAAAACGTGTTAACTGTCATCCTGTGATTGAAATAAAACTCTATATTAAAAAAAAGAGTAAACAAGAAAAGACGGCTACATAAATAAAGAAAGAGGGCAAAATCTAAGCCCCGCCCACCCGCCCTATCTCAATTGTGATGATTTTTTCATTCGTAATCAGATCGAGGGGCAGAGTTCAAATGTAACATATTATTTTTCTAGAAAATTCTACCCTTTTAAAAACAAATTTCACATGGTAATTTCTTATAGAGAAATGAGCTCACGGTGAATAAAAAATTCATCACAATTGAGAAGGGGTGGGTGGGCGGGGCTTATTTTTTGCCCATTTTTCGTTAATATACGACCTCTTTTTTTCCCAACAAGAAACTGAAAATATATTAACTATAATCCTGTTATTGAAATAAAACTATATATTAAAAAAAAAGATTAAACAAGAAAAGACGGCTGCATATATAAAGAAAAATTGGTCTAAAGAGTTTAGACAGTACTTCCCTCGCTGTCGGAAACTTGACGACTGCATGGCTATTGTGTTTTTTTCTCATTACATTTTTGTAGTGGGAATTTAAAAAAAATTGCGATGACGTCAACATTTTTGCAAGGACACGTATATCAGTTGGGATAGATGTAGTGTAATACTAAGAATAAAATTATTGTATTCCCAAATTTTCGGAAAAATGAATTGGGTCGTTTTGAATATTGATTTTTTATAATCAATAAAATAACGAAACAATTTACTCACGTATACGGCAACTGAAAATCGTTTCTGTATAAACATTCTTAATTTAAGATGACAAGCGTAACAGCATACGTGAGAGTCAAACAGAGAAACTGTAAACAAAACGACCATCGGTTTTATTGCTTCGACTTCCGCTTATTATATAAAACATTGGGTTTTATTTTAATTCTTGACGGTGAAATTCACAATTGGTTGATTATAAACAAGTCTATTTCACATTCGCGGAACCAAGTGATCGCATAAAACAAATGCAGGTCTGTAATGTTAAAGTCAATGTAAATAAGCATGCTACCCTTATGTTTCAACCGAGTTTTTCCTTTAACAAATTTTGTGTCTACCAAATTGGGTTGGTTGGGGTGTAATACTAATAATAAGTGTTGCCTTTAATTTAATCAATAAAATAAATTGACTTCATTAATTTTTTTGAACCACCTCTTAAGAAAATCTAAAAAATATGAATGGAATGATAAATCACAAGTACAAACTTATCATATTTTTTGCATTTTAGATAGGATTTATTCAGCAAAATTTAAGGGTGACGTCATCAATTTTTTTAGGAGGGATGAACAAATACATTTTGAACAAAAGTTTACCATGCTTATAATAACTTTAAAATATTCCCAAGATTTCAAAGCATTCGGTTTTGTAATTCCTAATTAAATCGATAAAATAAATTCAGGCCTTCATTAATTTTTTTGAGTCACCCTGCATATGCAAATCCAAAAATACGAATGGAATGATAAATCACAAGTACAGACTCATCATATTTTGTACATTTTAGATACGATTTATTCGGCAAACTTTTGAGCTGACGTCATCAGTTTTTTGTAGAAGATAACCAAATATATTTTGACTAAACATTTATTATGCTCTTTATGACCTTAAAACATCTGCAAGATTTCAGAGCATTCGGTTTTGTAGTTCCTGATTAAATCAATAAAATATATTTACGCATTCATTAATTTTTTTGAGTCACCCTGTATATGCAAATCCAAAAAATATGAATGGAGTGATAGATCACAAGTACAGACTCATCATATTTTGTACATTTTAGATAGGATTTTTTCAGCAAAATTTTGTGGTGACGTCATAAATTTTTTAGGGGGGACGATCAAATACGTTTTGATCAAAAATTTACCATGCTTATGATAATTTTAAAATATCTTCAAGATTTCGAAGCATTCGGTTTTGTAGTTCCTGAGTAAATCAGTAAATTAATTTACGCTTTCATTTATTTTCTTGAGTCACCCTGTATATGCAAATCCAAAAAATATGAATGGAGTGATAGATCACAAGTACAGACTCATCATATTTTGTACATCTAAAATGCAAAAAATATGATAAGTTTGTACTTGTGATTTATCATTCCATTCATATTTTTTAGATTTTCTTAAGAGGTGGTTCAAAAAAATTAATGAAGTCAATTTATTTTATTGATTAAATTAAAGGCAACACTTATTATTAGTATTACACCCCAACCAACCCAATTTGGTAGACGCAAAATTTGTTAAAGGAAAAACTCGGTTGAAACATAAGGGTAGCACGCTTATTTACATCGACTTTAACATTACAGACCTGCATTTGTTTTATGCGTTCACTTGGTTCCGCGAATGTGAAATAGACATGTTTATAATCAACCAATTGTGAATTTCACCGTCAAGAATTAAAATAAAACCCAATGTTTTATATAATAAGCGGAAGTCGAAGCAATAAAACCGATGGTCGTTTTGTTTACAGTTTCTCTGTTTGACTTTCACGTATACTGTTACGCTTGTCAT